GAATGGAGCGTCAGTTGGACTATTCTATCATGTGCGTCGCCTAAGGATATTCGTTACATTGACTCCTAATTTCCAATTAAAAGAACGACATTATTTTTAACCGAACTTTATTTAATAAATATGTAGTATACAATTAATGATTTTCTAAATGTTTTATAACGCCTAAAAATGTATGTACCGTGGAATTTTCGTGAATTATCACGTAAATTTCCGATGCATACCCGACACGCCACTGCGTCATTGGTAATGTATCTAGGTTTATGAATGACATATCTATGTTCAAGGTTAGTCACAAATTGTCCGCTCTCTGGTAAATTTTTATTATATCACCACGCTATGATGACAATGGCAATGTTGCCAGATTTCATCCATAATTTTTTTACAAGCTCTTAATGAATAAATAGACACTTTTATTTAAGTAAAAAGTTAATTGCCGTTCATGAAATACGAAAAATATATGCAAGCTAATATGTGATGTATAAATTTCATTCGTATATATTATATTTAGTTCGCTCAAATTAGTTTATGTAAGGTTGGTACTACAACGAAACTCCCGTATATAAGCATAGACTTCCCTCCCACACCGCCTGCTTCGGAAGACATGTTTCGAACCTCCTTAATTGGTATGTGCAGTTCTTAAGTGATGTATTAATAGTTCGTCTGAATTTATTTGGACTTCATACACTTAATTTTTAATTATGCTCCAGGGGTGTAAGGTCTGGTGCTCTTGCCGTCCTTGGAATAGGGCCCTGTTTGCTAATCCATCTGTTAGGATAGTTGACATTTAACCAGTTTTCAACTACCCTATCAGAATGAGAAGTAGCCCCATTTAATTGCAACCACATATTAGGTTAAGGCTCAAGATATAGCATCAAATAAAAATCTTGCTCAAGAAATTAAAGAAGGCCTAATAAGTTGATTTTTACTTGGAAATTAATGACTCTATTGAATTTCTGGTAATAATTAAATAATAATATTATTGATTCGAAGAGTGCTACTTTATTTTTTATTTAAATTAAAAATCCAATTTGCGTAAAACAAAGACAGATATCGACAAAATGAAAGAGACATTTTTTGTTCTCATTGGCATGCTTTTTCATAAAATATAATCAATTATTATTTTGCACAGGGCTGTACTATTTTTTTATAAAATAGTCTAACGAGTTTCCCATATCTCCGCCACTGGTTGCGCAAAAGGCTTTGTATTACAGCATTTTATGAAAACTTGTCCCAATATAACATACATCAAATTTAATTATTACACAAGATATTTCCCGTAAATGAATTTTTTTGAATTATTAACACCCTACATCTCGAAAATGGAGATTTCGAAAAAAGTTTATATGACAATGTACCACTATTTTTCGTTGTACTATCTGCTCCTGAAGTCTCATAGATTAAAACTGAGATACCCTGTATATTTGTCAGAATAAAATCTATGCATATAAATAATTTAACTTAATACCTTATATTTTTGTTCTGATCTCATTAAAATGAACGTATCACATTAAATTTACAAGAAAATAGAATTTTCTATAAAAACACCTGCTTGTCTTGAGATTACAATTTCAAATACCAAAAATGAAATTACTATCGGGTCAGAATGCATGAACATTAACATTTTTCATGACTGATTTTGAAGACTAGCTTTTATAGTGAAAAACGTAACAAAAACATTTTCTAGGGTATGAGGTTAAGTTTTTATATTTAAAAATACCTTATAATTACCGCTCTTTGTCCTACATACAATTTTCCTGTATCTTTAAAAATGACAATTTAGTATTAATATTTGCTTATGTTTTTTAAATATGTATTTAACACTTGATTTGTATATCAAATATTTATGAAAATAATACAATTTTCAACATTTCAATAATACAGAAGTTTTTTAGAAAAATTAACATTTTAGTTTAATGGAAAGAATAAACACTTTTATTGAACAAATAAAGGTACTGCTAGCTACAAAACGATCTACATTAAGACAAATGTGTTTATTACACCTTTTTTACAATTTTACAGAATTAAAAAAATTAAAAATGTCAATACTGATGCCTTTTTACAGTAACCACATATTTGACACCTCTCTGAAGCCGTAATTAAAAAAAAACACGTCTGTTATAAAAGATGACATTTTCTTCTAAATCAACAATAAAAAAAAAGTTTTGCCTAATGCAAACTCTGTGTTCGTACTATATAAATGATTATATTCTTAAAATAGGATACAATCATATGTACAGCTCAGTGAAGACGAATATAAAGTGCAGAAAGATAAGTAATTATATTTAGTATTTTAAGAAATATTTTACCATAAGTTTTTGCTATCATAACATTTATTATAAATATATCTTTTAACCTTTAAACACAAAAATCAATTTATTAAGCATTATATTTTAAACATGTTTAAATGTAAACCAGTATTGGGTTAATGACCTCAAAAAGTTAATTATTTTGTGATTAATTTTGCCCAGTTTGTTTAGCTTTGACCCCATTTATTTTTAGACAGAAAGAAGTACTTTTACAAATGTATCGATCCAACCAAAATGAAATGTAAATCTGATTAGATGCGGAACATTTAAGAATTCACAGAAGTCATTGATCTAATTTTGGTGGATTTTATTATGGTAGCACTTTCACTTACAAAAGTATATAATCGGTCCCATTGAATTGTTAAAGGCAAAATGTGGAAATGTATTTCGTTGTGATGGAGGGTACTAGAGGCAACACCACTTTGATAATTTAGTTAGAAAAAAAATAATAAAACTGTAAATGACATTTGCAAAAATTTACATACCAGATGACCCAGTCTGATGAATAAATCAGCTAAATTGTGTTTTTCGAGTGACAATGTGTAACTTTGTTAATAACAAAAAATTGACCTTGAAATTTTAACTAAAATAGCATAGTATTTAAATTTTGAAAACTGTTACAGCTTAAAAATGAACTGAAGAAGTAACTTGCTTATGAAGTTTGTTAATTTACTGCCTATTTTATTCATATCCAATTTGATGTTCCTAACACTAATGCAAAAGAAAACATAAGAATGACTGTTTGATTTCGATCACCTGGTATTTTTTCACTAGATTCATAACGAAAAAATCCAGGATCTGAAAACTGAATAGGTACTATAATAATTTGAAATGTATTTTAAGATTTCCAGTTCTTTTCACAATCTACAAGTGCTATATTGAAGATGCAAACTAACCCAAAATGCATTTTTTGACCCGAATTAATGGTTCCTAAACTCAGTTTTTAGAAATTACAAATGATAGAAAAAGTATTAGAATAAAATAAATTATTTTTGGCAATAGCTCAGATATTTTTTCTTTACTTTTGCTCATATAATAAGGTCACTTATTTACTCTATTTGATAAAAGTTTTCAATTAAATATTTATTCAATGACATAATGGGAGATTTCTGTAACTTTTAAGACGTCACAAATAATTTGAATTTTATGCTTTCCTGAATTCTTGGACATTGTTAAGTAAAAAATGATTCCCTTTGTTTATTACGCTAAGTACTGCAATTTTTGAGTTATAAAGTCCTCCAAAAGCAGTCATAACAAACAGTCACAACATAAGCAGTTCAGTTAGTGATTTTTTTTATGTAATTTACTCAAAATGGGATCAAGAGAGAAAATAAATAAAAGGAACTATTACATCAAAACTAAAACTTTTGGTTTTTCGGAACTAAAATATCAAATGAAAGAAAAACTGTAGATGTTGAATTCCAATAGAAAAGCCCCAAAAGAATTCCATGCATTTAAATCTAGGAAATATGGAGGGCATCAAAACTGAAAGTCAGAAAAATGTTTACTTCAGTTAAAATATAAGGTATAAAGGGTTTTAACTGAAACATTTGCAAAACCAACTATATTTTAAAAAAATCACATGGAAATTATTTTAGTAAAACAAATTGTCATACCATTTTCGCTATTATAATTTAATAAAGATCATCATCTGGAATTACAAGATTTGGAGGTATCAGATATGTACTCAAAAAACTCACTCTCAGACATGGACTCTCTTTAAGTGAATTAGGTTAAAGAACCCTTTAAATGTTTTTTGTTTTTGTTTATATAGAAATTATATTTATTTTCTTTTCATTGTTTACTCATGAAAAATTAAGATTTTGTTTTTTTTTTGCTGTTTTAAATAAAATAACCAATTTACGTTTAGTTAGTACCTAGGTATGTATTCTGACTAATTTCAGATTTGATCTGAAATAAATAAATTTTTTTTTAGTTTCATATTTTCATACTCATTCAGATTTACTCCAACAAATTATATCAGGAAAAACTTATGTATTTTTTCAAGCGAGTATCCTAAATTTTTTCAAACTTTTTTTGCTTTAGAAAAATGTAATAAAAAGAATCCGACATAAAATTCAAATTATCTCAATGGCATAAGTTTTGCACGTTAAAAATCTCTTGAAGCAGTCCAGTCATTCATCTATCTTCAATTTTTTATCAATCTTTTTCAATTTTTTTTGCGAAAATTTATGACTAGTTATAAGATATACATAAAAATTATTCTTTAGTAATATATTTTTATGAAGTGACATGATTTTCAGGAAGTATACAGGCTGTTACATTGACGCAGTAACAATTTCTATGGAACAATTCCTCTCGTTATAATAGGAAACAATTCCTAAGGCTATTTTCCAAAAAGGGACATGAAACACAACTTTTAATTAACTGTTGAAGTCTTTGAATCTAATATAGTGCAGTACCCTTCTAGTAGTCACCTCAACCAAAAATCTGAACAAAATCTACCCAGTGGTGTCAGGATTAGAGAATTGTGTCAACTGTTGCAAAAGAAGTATAACAAAGATAATCTTTTGTGGATTAAGACAGATACAACCAACTAGAACTTTTTTTGTAAAACATCCCAATATGATGTTTTGCAGTTTTGTTTAAATTTTACATGATTCATTTCAAGATTGTAGAACTCAAAAACAGTTACTCTTGTTTATTTATTATACTGATAATTTCAACACGCACCTATATGACGCTGAGGTGGATTGTTCACTGTACCAACATCCGAAGAATATATCAATGTCTGCGGAGTCCTTGATGAATATGGACTCTGGAATTGTGTCGTACCCGCCTGAGGATCATATTCGCTAATTTTGCCAATGTTATTGGGATTTCCTATGACTGTCTGGCCAGGAACTGGTGGAAGAGGTGGTTGGAAAGTATTTGCATTCTTCTGATCTGATTCTTTGAATCCATTAGCATTATTACCATTGTCACCAATCTGCCTCCTCTGTTCCATCTCCGCCTTTTTCTGCAGTTCCCCATGATATGAGATATTGCTTATGATTTTGGTGTTTTGTTTTATCCGTAACGTTTCTGGATCATCTGCTACTTGCGTGAATTTACCTTTGCTCTTCTCAAAATCTGCGTGGTATTTAACATTAGATTGTAGTTTTGTATTCTCTGCGATCCTTTTTAGTTCAGGTGTCTCTGCCATCGTGGTTGCCTTTGCCTTTGGTATGTGACTGAAATGGATGGAAAAATTTAATAAAACAGACTAAAAAGAAATTTATATTGATTTTTTTTTCTGTAATTTTATGAACAATTTACTAAACAAAAAATGGGTCCCAATTTCTCAAAGCTGATTGATTACCTTTCAAATGGCTAATCTGCCTTTGACAATCACTTTTTAATTCTGAATTTGTTTTTTCTATTCACATAGTTAATAATTAACATTCACATTTAAGACACAGCAGTTTGTCAAAATTTGAAATCTTAAGATAAAATAACAGTACCAACAAAAATAAAAGAAAAAGTGACGAGAAGAAAGAAGTCTATAACAGAAACAAAGAAAATTAACTATAATAGCAGCTTCAAAACGATAATTTCATACTCAAAATCGGATTTTAATCTTGTTTTGGTCAATGTCATTCTATCTAAGCATGATTTCAGTATCCTCTAGGGAGGCAGGTAAGAAAGATTGATCGAAATTTTAATAAAAATATCTAATCATCATTACTGAGCAATAAACCTGAAATTAAACAAAATAAGATTACCAAAATCAAATAAGCAGTTCACAAGAATCTCTGAAATTGGACATAGCAGGCAGTAACTATCAGAATTTTTGCATTTATGAGCCATATGCCTAACGAAAATAAAACAGTAAGTGTATTCTTTAATGATGAAAGACTAGGATATATTCCCGTGTACTAAAATCTGTTCCTTTGGCGCATGACGTCACATGGAGAGTTATTTACGTGGCACATTAATAAAGTTTATACTTTATAAAATAATTACTCATCATTCACTATTATCAACATTATTTTGTAATTTTTGTGAAGTTTTTTCACAATCAATCTTGGATACTGACACATTAATTGGCAAAAATTTGTTAGGTACAACCGTTTTATTAATCATTTGGTGGCCGGTGATATTTAAAATCGCTAGCAATCCAAGCATTTTGGTGTTGTATATATTTCCGCAAACTTCAATCTAGTTTTCAAAATATTTGTAAATTGGAAAGCATGATGTTCTTATTAAAGGATTTGCGTTGGTTGTATGCTACACAAACAAATACGGAACATGCATATAGCCACCACATGAATCAAAAGTTTTATACAGATCAATCACAAACACAATACAAATACGAAAGTTTCACCACTTTAGGACGCACACGACACGAAAGCTTTAAATACAGGTTAGCGTTATTAACTGCCTGTTTCCGTCCATCAGTTCTGCACGGAATATTATCTACAGAGTAAAAAATCGTTATTTACCCTCCACGTCACGTGACGTCATAACATGGCACGGGGATGTGCAATTTGCATCTTAGTCTTTGTAACATAGTATCCTACTGTATGCAATCAAACTAAGTACATTTCGCGATAGGGTCCAAGGAGTGTAAGCAACCAAAACAGTTGGATTCTTCATGAGCGTTTTAATTGCAGTTGTAAAAATATAACATTTTGTAAATAGTAAAATTTGGTGAGTCTATAACGATAACGTCTTGTAAGTAATCCTATATTTTCAGCAATAAAATAGATAAGGAACTACTCTCGTTGGAGTCATGTTGATATTATATTTGATTTGAAATTAAATGTAAACTACTGTAAATGTTTGACACTGTAATTGTGAGTAGTTTCGTGTCGCTCTCAGCAAACCTAATCGGCTTGCAATATGTTCCAAATTTCTCATCCTCTGATTAAAACGCAAAAATATACTGTACCGTCACTAAACACTGAAATAAATAACTTTATAAGGTTACACCACATAAAGGCACTTTTCGAATACCCTATCCTAGTCCAAAACTAAAATAAATATTTACAAAAAACCCGTTTACCACCCCGTCATATCATTCCACGTGTGAAGTTAATCTGCAGTAGCCGCTTTTCAAATGCGGAAATATGGCATTCCAATGTTGCTCTTCTGAGCGGATTATGTTTAGATCTAAATTGTTCCCGGTTTAATTTTGTTGCAATTTTATTTACTGTGGATGAATTTAATATGTGCGCTGCCGAATTGGCTGAATAAGAAAAACGAGTTGAAACTTACCTTATTACTTTACAATCATATCTATTTTAACTTTCCTAAATTGACACTGAGATTCACAAATTAAAAAAATTACAATAAAAATAAAACGAAATTGTAAAAACTTGAAACGATTTTAAAAAATAGTTCATATAAATCAGACTAATATTTTTATTTTTTTATTATGATCGATTTTTAGAACAAAAATAATTATTTTAAAACATAAATTAGTTTTATTTACATTTAGTAATATGGTACATATGAATACAGTTAATTCGTCCACACTGACATCAAAAAAATATGGTAACTTTAAAATAACAAGTTATTATCATAGAAAAGCAATAGGTATATTTTCACTAAATTACTTTTCATTAGTTCCACTGTGTAACAGTTTGTTTAAAAAAAAACTATACTTATAATTAGTACCATATTAATTAATATTTAATAAACCATGTTAAATTTTTATTCTTTTCAGAAACAATAGAATGTTTCTTTTTAATGTAAGGCGCTTCGACCACAGTCATATCAAAATATATGGTGACTTTATAACAGGAAGTTATACAAAAGCAGTCTGTTTTACTAAATTATTTTCCATGGTAACATCTCACATTGTATGTTGATTTAAAAACAACTGGCAACACTGATAGTGCAGGAATACGACTTAATATGCTAACTCCGAGTGCCCCGGTTTACCCAGCCCAGTGGCGGCATATTTATTTCATTATAATGATTTTGATGATTAAAAAATTTATAATTTCAGATTCGTATTCAGGGAACACGTACTAGTATCCCTAAAAAACTGACCCCAACTTAAAATTACCCTGAATAATAAAGTAAGTGAAATACATGAAGTACGTTCCCTACTATTAGGTCTAAGAAAATATAATCATCATTTTTTTCTGATTATTAGCTTTCAGTGTGCAAGGATCCCAAAAATATGACGCTTGATTTCACTGTGTGAGAGGTGCAAGATCTGGTGCGAAACGAGTTGCGGTACGCCGTTGCGTTGTGGCCGCACGCATTTAATCCAATGGTTATTTGCTTGGCAGTATGGTGCGAGGGTACAATGTTAAGGTGCAGTGAAGCATCATGGCCGCCTACTGATGTATCAGTAACATCACGCACGAACAGATATTCCACTCTCGCGCCGCAGAGGATTTTCACTGCTTTCAAGTTTTATTTTAGGAAATAGCTTCCAGTTCGATTGGAAAAAAAATTGTTTTCCTTAAATTATAACGAAAAGCGCTGAAGCGATTTTATTCATTGTCAGACCGAGATTCACATCATATTGGTCATTAGTTTCACTGATTCTCCACAAACGTACGTAAATTATTTTTGTCAATGTTTCAAAGTTATATTAATCTTAATTCGTTATTATCATGGAGACGTAAAGATTTCGCAAAAATTAATTATTTATACTTATTGCTAAGATTGACGTTTTCGAAATAAATAGCAAAATGTTACCATATACAGGAAATTATCTGCTACGAATAATATATTATTTAATTCCATAAAATTTTTATTTTTTGCAACTTGAAGTAACCAATATTTTTACATGTTAATTGTGAACATCATCTGGAAACGAAACGTTTCTGATCTTAACTTTTTGGTAATAAACTCTTTGAGTGCGACGTTACATATTTAGGAAACCCGCTACAAATTGTCATAGTTGAAATTGTACAGACCGAATCTGACTCTTGTGTACTATTTATTTACATAGATACTAATAAACAACTTCAAATTAATTTATTTTTGCAAGGATTTGGAAGTATTTAAGAATAACCAACACGTGTTTCGTAAAATAGATACACTAATGTGCTTAAAACTTAGAAAAAACGATATAAAAGAATAATCTTAAATTTAAATAAAGTAAAAATTTAACATTAGCCTATCATCATTAGCGTATTTTCTCTTGTTTTGGCATTTTCTAGTCTACTAAGTATTTTCATTGCCTTTCTTGGTGTTGTACTGTGTCAGTGTGCTTATCGAGTGTATTTTTCTTCAAGAGGTTTATTATAGACATATTCTTAACCATAACCAAACTTTCCTTGAATGATATCCTGTTGCGAGGCTACTTCGCTTACATGAAATTCTCTTTAATGCGCATTTTCAGTAACATTGATATAATTTTAATTGATTTATTATTATAAAAGTTAATATTCTAAATTAAATATATATAAATTCTATAATTCTATTAGTTTGTCACTTGGGGTAGAAAGTTGTTAAATATTTCTAATATTGTCAGAATTAATATTTAAGGTCATGACAAAGAAGCCATTTTTTGTCACTTATGTCCAATGTGCACTATGGGGTTGCCTATTACTTGGCGTATGTGACGTCACTACTAAAAAAGGTCTATTTAAAACGTAAAATCCATCATTTTAAACATATGGATTTAGAATAAAATATAGAGTGTAAGGAATTACGATTAGCCGTATTTAATTATTATTATTATTATTATTATTATTATTATTATTACTCTCTGTAAGCCCTAAAAATATATAGCTCTTCATCAGCCTTAATTCTTGACTACAATTATTATAAGTGACACTAATTTGTATACATTTTATTAGAGATGTTATGAATGACTTCGGCACATTAGTCATACTTTATTCGGGCAATCCAGCAGAACATCTGTTTAGGAAAATGTTATATGCATTATAAAATACTTGTATATTTGTTTTAAACTTTTGATCGGAGGCATACAAAACCACCAAGATTTCAGCTTTGAAATGCCTCTTTATAAATTAGTTTTCATATGGTCTTACTTTTATTGTTTATTAATATTTTTCTTCATTAATAAACAATACGCGTAAACATTACTATATATGGTGTTGTACATTACATATCTTTATATCAAGCAACTTGATTACAACATATCTCTGATTTATTGTAATACATTGCGTAACAGTCTTAGCCCTTGCAGATTGGATAATTCAGTCTATTCTATTGTGAAAATAATTCTATTAAGCTAGTATTTATATTTAAAATTTAAATATTTAAGCAAATAATACAGGGTGGTTCGTATTCCATTAAAAATCGTTTAATGGGAAATTTCTGAAATAAAAATACAGCGTGTCAAATATCAGAAAAATTATAATTTTGGCAATTCGAAAACTATTTCAATAATTGATCTGAAATTGATTGAAATTTAAGAGCGATATTTTTGGCTAATTGGTAAAGGATTAACTGGTCAAGTAAATGTGATCTTTCGCGTATGGACCAACAGCAAAGAAAATCTGATTAATTTTGATCTAAAAAAGGAACATCATTTGTTATGGAAGGTTTGAAATAAGAAGCAACGAATAGAATGATAGAAGAATAGGAAGCAAAATTGTATTATCAAGTCAAAAATAAAATTGACAATATTTTAGTAAGATATCAGATAGAAATTAATTCAGAGGAAGAAGAGGAATTCAAAATTTCATTACCAAGTCAAAAGATCTTATTACTGAAATACTTATAATAGGCTTTTTTGGTAGGTTATATAAATAGATTTTTTTCACCTTGTTGTCCTATTTTAATAATAATTATTATGGTTATCCAAAATTTGTGTAGAATGAAACAAATTTACTTCACTCAATCACTTTTGAAGTAGGTAGTTTTGGTCTTTTTGAATGATATTGGGTAACATGAATATACACACCTTTATTACTTGTTTTGAGGTTAGAAAAATTAATGTAAGCAGACATATCAATTAAAAGAAAGTGTAAGTAAATATATCGAAAACTACTTTTTACATTATTAAAATTTTTTCATGATTAAAATATACCAATAATTGAATAAAACCGTGAAAAACAAAATTAATTTTAAATTAACTTACCTATTTAACGTACAATGATATGGTCAACACTACTTTTCGATCTTAGTAGTCCAAATTGTAAATATATGAAGAACAAAATGAATACTATTTTTGAAATTGTCACCCCAACAAACATAGCAGTTAAAGTTTTTAATTTGATTAGCAAACTCGGAAAAACCCAAAGCTATTGAAATATCGCGTATGCCGCAGGATCCTACTTAAAAAAAACGACGGGGACACTGCAGAAGTAATTTGGTATACAAACTTTATTAATATATGAGTAATTAATACTTCGGTAATATTTAAGAATAAAAACAATTATTTTACAGATACAACATGATTCTAAAAAGTCTCGAATTTGACTCAGTTTATACATTTTTGTAAAAATGTTTAACTATTTTGGTAACATTTTTTAAGTCAAACATAATTTTCATAGCCCATTTTGGTTTTGAAAATTTAATTATTGTTTTTTTTTTAAATAAAAAAAAACATGAAAAACCGCAAAATTGTATTTTAATTGAGTTGATGAAACTTTTGGACATCTGAGGTTTGTAATTACTATTTTTTATTTGAAACCACTTCTTGTCATCATTTTTTAGTTCTGAAGATGCTTAATATTTTCAAAAATATTGCAACCATAAAAAAAATCAAATAACACCGAACCAGTACAACTTACGACTGAATATCTGTTCATCAAAGTAGGTCTTAAATTCAAAGAGAAATTAAAAAATTAATCGAATAGGGAATACTAATTTTGAAAAAATACAATAAGGTAACACTCACAATCAGAAGAAATTGAGTCCTGTATGATCGACAATAACTTTGAGGTGTGAATAAATTTATTTGGTGTTTTATTTGAAACCACTTTTATAAATTAATAATGTTAGAAGAGTTATGGAAGAATCTGCCAAAAGTGGGACGCCCTGTATTCTCTATAAATGCAGCACATAAAACGAAAACAGTATTAAAAATTGAATATTATGCACAGATATGTATATATGTACAAGATATTTTTTAAATAGATGTGTTCCTTCAAATGAGTAATAGAACAATTTATTTTAAGCAAAAAGTTTCATATAAACGTGGATCGTAGTCCGCTTCGTTTTCAATATACAGGGTGTTTAAATTAAAAAAAAAACACATCTGAAATATCTCCGAGGATGTTTGATATAAACAAATATGGATTCATTAATGGCCCAAAATTTTGACCAATAGATCTAGAAAGTAGAAGAAAAATCCTCAGTGATGTTTCAGAAAATGTTTTTTTTTTTTTCTAGTTTCAACACCCTATATCCCGAAAACGAAGCGAACTACTACTCACGTTGACATGAAACTTTTTACTTAAAATAATTTGTTCTAATACCCCAGAAACACCGTGTATATATACTGCTTAGTCAAACGCAGGAAGTGATTAACTATTTCCTAGAATTCGCGATACTGTATTTTAGAACAACTCTAACCATCTCCAACCTTTGTTTTCCAAGGTTGATTGTTACTAGACTCATTGTCATAGTAAAGGCCCTGAAACTGATATAAGACTGATGAAAACAATAATATTTGTATTGTTCTGATCCTGGTAAGATGATAACGTTGGTAATGAAAAAACAAAGTTATTTGCATAAAAAAATATGAAACTTATATGTATTTAGACATTGAAATTCTTGCAACAGTAGCTTATTTAAGGTAGTAGCTTTTTTTATAGGTAAGCAGAAATGCAATATTGTATGTAATAGGCAATAGACAACAATAGACAACTATTTCATAAATTAATTCACTGCATATTATAAAATTTCTTGAAATCATGTAACCACACAAAAATTAATATGCATAATAATAAAAAAAATGTTGACTGCATGTTACAATGCTACGAGAAATATTACAGTAGGTATAGAAGTTCCTGTGCAAATAAAATGGAATTTAATGAGAATATTATTATAAAGAAAATTTAAAAAATCGAATACCCATTTGAAAAAGTTTTTAGTTGGTAGCAACATATTTAGAAACTTAAAAATGGTTCCCAACAATTTATTTTATACTTTTATAATATCGGTATAAAATTTCGTTTTGGCATTCTACAATGAACTGCAATGCAAGAATATATGGATATCTTTTCCAATTTGGATATCTGATATTTTAAATGTAAATTTACCTAGATAGTTAATAAAATATTTAATATTTTAAATGAAGATTATTCAACCTACGAAAAAGATATGACCTCATTACACAAACGTTAAGATAAAATAAATACTTAAGTAGTTTATGCTCAAGTTTATGAAAAGTTTGTTTCAATTTATTACATTTACTAAAAACTAAGAATACTGCTGCTATCATTTTTACCAAAGTTATACCAAATAACCACAGAAACTTCCTCTATTCCAGTAAATTATCTATTCTACATATTTCCATTTTAATCTATTTAATTATTACCACTGTTCGATTATCATTCATCATTTGAAAAAGTCCACATCTGTTGTGGTTTTGATAATATTTTACAATTCCCTTTCTTGCGAGTAAAAAAAAATATTCTACATACATTTTTTTAGTTTTGAAAAATTCTATAGAAAACATTTGCAAATTGTCACAGAAGATTCTATTTGAAAAGGTCACATTTAAGTATTACATTAAATAAAAAATTATTTCATTTTAAGAAATTTTACTTGATAATGAAAAACCAAGTTACAAAATCTCTGTATCTAATTACCGAGTTAATTACTTAGAGCACATACGAGTATCCTTAATTTTGATTATCAATTTATTGTACAGGTGGATCTTAAGTAGATTCCATAATAAAAAGGTTGATTATTTAGACAATTTTAAAGAAAAGAATTCTTATGTCTTAAAAAGCTTACTTTTTGATATATAGGATGTTAAATAGATATTTTGTACAATATTACATTTACGCAACTATTTCACAAAATGTTTAAAATAGATCAATGAAAATTGGGTTGGTAAAATAATTACATAAAAGCGAAAATTGTAACTAACAACCCCAGAATTTTAACGCCAGTTAGCATTCTTTTGGAAATTCGACTGGTGTGCATAATTCTTAAATGTATTTCAAAGAAAAAAGGCCTCTTTCATTCTATTAAAACATTGAATCATTTTCATATTATTATATTTGTTAATTTAAATAAGCTTACCATAATATTGAGTAAATAAAAAATAAAATTTCTCTCTTCGTTTCGCAAATTGCAGATATTTTTAATTTTTTGAGGTGCTAAATTACTAAACTTAAAAATCACCTCAAATAATATGGTAATTTATTTTATTTGACTATATACTCTATGATAACCAAGTTAAACACAAATCATGTCAAAACAAAGAGCATAAGCAGAGTTTAATTTTCACAAAACTGACACAATTTTATTACATATAAAAGTGATTCTGTGCCCAGAGAAAATTTCCTTGGGTAATAACTATTTATATCCACATAATCTCTATTAAACTGTTTAAATGCATCATAAAAATGCCACAGAAGATTGTTGATCCACCTTGTTTAATATGCAAATAGAAAGATCAAGTGATTCTGCCTACAGCTCAGTGATTATTTGATAATTACTGATAATTTGATATTTAACAGTCCCATCGTCTGATTCGAATTAAAAATAACTTCGTTGATGAACTTTTTATGGTTCTCTATTTTTCTTTTCTTTTAGCTTAATTATTGTTAAAATGCATTTTACTTTGTGGTAGGTAATACTCGTATAATGTTTTTGTTTTTATTATTTTAAAAAGAATCAGTAAGCCATGAAATTACCAAATAATTGCATTGTAAATAGAATCCTCCATACATCCATAACTAAATGAAAAAAATTTATGAAACATAAAATAATGTAACACTATTAGATGAGATTAAAAAAAATGTTAAGGAAAATAACAATTCCTATCTTTATAACTAAACTACCTTTAAATGACAATCGGTTTAATGAAATATTTAGTTATTTTTTGTATACTTACGCTTCACAGTATGGTTCCTTGTTAAACCCCTTATATGTCCTCATATTCAGAGCCATTCCACAGTCTTTACATTTGAAACATAATTTGTGCCATACCTTCAACAAAAACAGCAAAGCAGTGAGTATGTCCTGCATAAGTCAATTTAAGCAACAGCAACATGTGTTGTTAAGTTTGTCTTTTATAAAAATCATTGACATTAATAAGGGAAATGGTTTAATTTTTTGTGACTCATTCACTCATTTATTTTCTTGTAAGTGTAACAGCCTTGACTGAATTTATTGAATGCTTCTTTGACCAAATTTTCATAAAGCAACATTTTTCGTAACAGACGATTTGAAAACATATTGAACACTCGAGAAAGTAGATTCTAAATATTCAAATATTCTCATAAAATTACTATTAGAATTAATAAACAAATCCCACCTTATCCAGACATTTCAGTTCTTCAGTCGGATAAACAGTCTTATCACATCTCGCACACTTTTTGCTCATCTTAAATGGTAATGAATTCAATAAGCACTAATTATATAAGGCACCGTAACTAATTTCTGTATTTCGTAAAACCATTCACCCGTACTTCAAAACTAAAAAATTACACTACTAAATTGTAACCCAACCCACTACCAAATCGACAGAACAGAAATGTCCAAATCCAAATCGTCTGACTTCTGCGGATTCTGAACTGAACTGAACTACTGAACATCCTAAACTAGCCATGCCATATTGCCACATTTCATATTTCATTCATGGCAGTAGGTATTTTATTCCCAAATAGGTTAATAAAATTATTAGCGAACTTCGCTCTTTATGAACTGAATTCAAGATTCGAAGTGATCGGATCGCTCATCGGGTCAATGGCAAACATTTTTTGCAATTTTGCATTCACTGCTCATTGATATTCTTCCTCCTATATTATCAACTCGAATACCTACTAAAGGATGCAAATAAATCGAAAATGCTGTGTTCTTCTAAGCAAAAGTAACTAATACTTTAATTGTTAACATTTCAAAGCATAATAGTTAGGTACTGTTCACCATTTATATTTAAAGTCAAGTTTTGTACATAATAAATGTGTTTGCCTATTATAAATCTCTGTCTGTCATAATTATGTAGATTAATAATTTTAAATATGAGCATATGTACATAAGTATTCTTATTATATCAGCAATTTTTTCTTCAATTTCTTTTTATATTGAAATGCCATTATTTGTTTTTTCGTTAGGCATTTTCAATATTCTAAGAACAGAAGAAACTTCTTGTGGAGGGTTTCAGGATTAATTGGCCAAATTTAAAAATTTTATTTTAGGTACAATGAGGTACAATAGTGTTCGAGGTACAGGGTGAGAAAATTTGAAAAATATATCAAATTTTCTAAAATATCTCTGAAGTCGTTTAATACAGATGGAGTGATGAAATTTGTGAATGATTTATCTAATTAAAGATAAAAATCTGTTGAATTTGTATAGAGGTAAATACTTCTACCCTTAACAGAAATACCACAAGTAACTATCATTGGGAATCTAAAATTCGACGGCACTGACTATTGTGAAAATTCTTCAAAAGACGGACTTTTCTCAAATTATTGCATTTCTAAACTTACACATATCCGTTATAAAGCCTGTTAAGCCTAAGATAAGTCTTAAATTACTCGTAGAAAAAGTTCAAGTGACCCTTTTTGACGATTTTAATCATGGAACGGCCGAAGAAATCATTGGCGTAGGAATTTTGAAACTTTTTCGAGGACAGGCCTTCTTCATCTAACAATTTCTAACGTTTCATTACTACGTTGAACGTCTTCAGAGGTATTTTGGAGAATGAGATTTCTTTTTCAATTTTCAACAACCTATACCTCGAAAATGAAGCTTTTCCGAACATTCATTCATGGGACTCTTTCCTGATTTTTGACCACTAAAATTTTAATATTGGTCTATTAATTTTAGAACATTCTGTATGTGGCGCAAGTGGCAACGTTTTAGCTTTTACTTTTATTATCCTTTCAAGTGCGTTCAAAATTACCCGCGTTTGATCGTGTTAATTTCAATCCCTAATAAATCTTCTAATTAGTCTAAAACTGCTTACACTTTACTCTATAATACTGATCAAATGATCAATGAAGATTAATTATCTACGAAATTAAGAACCCCTTTATTGTATAGAATGATAAAAATAAGTATTATAAAATCGAGACTTTAGAACACATTAATTAACATGTTTGGAATTCTTGATTTTGGCGGAACGGTGAATAACGTAGATACACATGTTCAATTGGAAATTTTGAAAAAAAGTAGTCTGTTGAATATTTAAAGAAACTGGGATAGACTTAAACAACGGTTTTCTACTCTAAAATAATTTACCTGCCTCATTATGCAGGGTGTAACAATTTAATAATATATTTTCTTATTTAAACATTTGCCCTTGAAGCCTTCGATTCTAAGATACAGCTTGTTGAAATTAAAAAAAAAGAGTGAAGATAATAGATTTAAAATTAATTTTAAAATAATTAATCTGAAGAAATTAAGTCTCACAAAGCTCAAACCAATGGTGTAGAAATGAGGAATGTTGATTAAATTTTCTTTTAAAGTATTATGGAAATATACAAGGTGTTCCCTTAATGATATTTCTACATGGAAAATTATTGATAGTTTGCTTTATAAACTATGGTACCGTTGCGAAAATACGGGGTGTTAAAATTTTAGGAAAAAGGAAATTAATTAATATTTTCAAAACCGCTCGAGATATTTCTGTGATATTTAGTACGTATATAGTTAATAAAGGCGCATGTTTTTCAATGCAAACATAATTTTTAGCTCTAACAGTGGCGTCTGTACGAGCACTGACTGATATTTTTAAAGAAAAAAAAATAGTACGCCATTGGTTTTTTCCCAAATAACAATATTTTAAGAGCTCTCTTGAGTTTTTATCCTGCGATGCGCCGTTTTTGAGTAAAAAAATAAAACCCGTTGTATATTGTCCGTAATTAATTAATATAATTACTGAAGAATACAATTTTGCAATAAACCTATAGTTGGCCTGAAATGTGTTACTTACATTTCTGACATTTTGAAGTAATTCAAGCGGTTTCGAAAATATTAATTAATATCCCTCTTTTTCCTAAAATTTTAACACCCCGTATTTTCGCAACGGAACTTTTTGGACCATAGTTTATAAAGCAAACTGTCATTAATTTTCCATGTAGAATCACACCCTTAAATATTCGCATATCATTAAGGAACACCCTGTATATATATGTATATATATTTCCACTGATTGTGAGTAAAAAATATTTCCATTTGTCATTTTTGAAATGCAAATTTTATTATGCCCTTTTTGCACAGCTTTTACTCTTTGGTACAAATTAGTAATTTATAATGATAACTCGTCTTTAATCGTTAATTACCGGTTAACTTACAAATATACAGGATGTTACTCGACAGGGTGTCAAAAAATTCTCCTTTATTTTTGACACAATGTAACGTTATATCCTGTAGTTCTGCATTGGTTATACATATAAGCTATGCTATTTCCATAGACACTGAGGAAATATAAGTATCTAACCATCAGCTATAAGACGGTAAGTAAGAATTAATGACAGGAAGATTACAATGTCAGAAGCTACACGAATATAGTACGTACATATTTGAGATTGATTCACCAGATCATCCGTAAAACTATAATGCTTTTTAGCACACAGAAATCGGAGAAATGCGATTTTGTCACTTCTTTTCTTTCTTATTATTACAAACTTTTTATTAATACCCCTGTTAATATTGTGAATAAAATTCCTAATAATATTGTTTGTTGCAAATGTCAAAAACTTCAAACATCTCCTTTTTATGCAACGTGAAGAATTATTACAACTGTTGAAACGTAAACAAAAAAATAAATCATCGTTGGGTTCTGACCAGCTTATTCTTCCATCTGTTGTTTTAAAATGTTAAATCTAATAATAAGGCCACTTATACAGGGTGTCCCAGAATATGTGGGCAATCTCATCTCGGATTTATACAGGAGACGTTAAAATAACATGACAAGTTCCTATACAAATTTTCCCTAGAGGGCCCCTCTACGGAGATATAGACCCCAAAAGGACCCCCCCCTGAAAATCGATTTTTTTAAATAACTTTTAAAATTATGTAATAGAATTATTTTTAGGAAAAAAACAAATGTAAATAAAAGCGGCATTTTTTTAGATAGGGACAGAAAAAACGCAAATTTCACCGGTTTATTTATGTTCACGGATAGATATAAAAATCATATTAAATAAAAATAGTTTTTTGTCAAAAAAGTTTCATTTTATCGATATCAAGCAAGAGTGCTTTTTTTAGATTAAGGTATGTAAAAATATTATTTTTATACCTTTATCGTAGAGGGTATAAAAAAATTGACATTATACTACAGCTAGTCCATCCCTGGCAAACCAAATATGCTAAATTGTTTTCATGGGTCAATTTTTAAGGATGTCCATCGTATTAAAAAATAATTAAATTACACGAAGTATTTTAAGTTATTAAAAAAAATCGATTTTCAGGGACATCTTTTAGTGGCCTGTATCTTCGTAAGGGGGCCGTCTAGGGAAAATTTTTATAGGAACTTATCATGTTATTTTAATGTCCCCTGTATAAATAATTTATCGTTTAATACCGGTGTTTTTCCAGTCTTTAAAATTAGGTTAAACAGTACCTATTTATAAGAGCAATCCAAAGTTAGTTACCATATGGTCTAGTTTTTACATTATTATTAGTCAGCATGGTTTTTGCCCTAGTAGGTTTGCAAGTACGGCTATACTTGCATTTTATGAAAAATTGAGTGCATTGAAAAAGGGGAATGTCTCACGAGAACATTCGATTGTGTGGATCATAAAAAATTATTGACAAAATTATATGCATATAGTAAAAGGACTTACCTTTAAATTGGATCTCCCCTTTTTTGAAAGATAGGAGACAATATGTTAACCCGTCTCATCATATTGATGACCACGGTGGCTTAAATAAAATTTTTAACTCGGAGTTCCACAAGATTCTGTTTTGGACCCGATACTGTTTATTTTATACATCAACGAATTGTTTACTTTAATACCTAAAATGTTTCTTCATCACTAACTTTCAATTTTGGTTTGGTTCCCAGTAAATAAAGAAAATACATCGATTTATATAAAAACAATATCTCTTTATTTTCCAATTAAGCTATAAATAAATATTATACTAAGATTAATACTGCCAGTATCCACTTCAAATATTCGAGACAGTAGATCTACAAATAGGCTATGAATATTAAGTACGTTACAGATATAACACATCACCAGAACATCCCTATTCCAAAATTCACAATAAACAGAATATAAATAGGATAATAAAAATATATAACATACAAAATTTACAATTCAAGTATATCCATACTACATTTTAAAGTAATAGGAAATAAGAAAGAACCATTTAGATTCGAAAGATAACTATTGTGTTCGATGCACTGGCATTACTTAAATTTTAAAATATGCTTAAATTGCAAAACAATTCATTATTTCTTAATTTTTTCTACTGATGTTTTGTAATACATTGAAGTAAAAATTAATTTGCAACTTAAGCATAAATAATGCCATTATAATCGACCATTAGTTACTTTTGTAAGACCGAAAGATCCATAGAGAGCAGAAGGTGGATTATTATTTATTTTTCTCAAGAAAAATTAAAATTTAAGTACTCAGCAAAGACATGAAATTGTATCAAATTTTCTTTCTTTGATATATGGAGTGTCCCATAGTTAGCCCGTCAAAATAAGAAAAAAAGTTCTAATAAACATAGGTCTGGAAATGCTTCCATTTATTGCAGATGTGTTGCTAAGGAAAGTTTTCATTAAAATCTGTGGGAATAAATAGGTGTAATTATTATAGATATTTACTATTTTATTCTTAGGAAGATGAGTAGACAATCATTCTAAAATTTGATTTGAATAGTTTTATAGTTTTTTTACAAAAGGAAGGTGGCTTATTGTACTTCAAAAGGACATACATATATTTAAATAAAATCAATTTTAATGTTCTAAGACCCCACAAAAACATAAGTCACTAAATCGATTGTCCCATAATTAGCGTGCCAAACTTCTTCAATAGGTGCTACACTCAAGAATATAAAAAAAAATTACAATAATTTTTTTTTGTTTGATTGTAGAATCTAGTTGACACATTTTTATGATTCTACTTAAAAATGGAACTTCCTATAGAAATTCAATAAGGGCACTTTTGTAAGAAATAATAAAACGTTAAATTTTGTAATAAATCTTGGGGAAAAAAATTATGAACAAAAAAGCTGACACAGACTTTTTACCACCACTCCATCAGTTCTTATCTATTTCCGAATCAAATTTTAGAATTATTTTTTACTCATCTTATAGAGAATGAAATTGTTTTTTTAAATTTCATTTCCACAATGGTCAGAGATTCCTTATGGGCTAATGTTTCTTAGAACCCTTTCTTATTTATTAATGTACAATTTAGTAATGTCTGGCAGATTTGGACTCCCTGTATCAAATATTTAAAAATGAGTACTTTTCTTGTTATTTATATTTATTTTAAAAAAAAGTAATTCACCTGTATATTTTTATTGACAAAATGCTCACTGACCTATACCGAGACAAAGAGAAAACAATATATTTTACTTATTTACTTATTTTGGCTAAATCATCTCGCATTAATTTGACTTCACTTTTTATGTGCTCTAATTCTTCTCGTTTAGAAAAAAATTATGTAAGAGAAAAATGAAAAATGTATTTAATACGAAATACCTATCACAGCTAATGTTTCTAAAATTTGTTAACCAAACTATTGAGATTAATCCCCTTTCCTTTTATATTTTTTATCGATTCTATTATGTTGATTTATAAAATTACAAAACGATTATTGCATCTGTTCAATTTATAATTCAGTTCACTTAATATACAAAAAATCCTTTTTCTGGGGAACCAGTGAGCATTTTAATAATACAACAACGGTAATAAACATATGAACATTTCTTCTGTATTCAACAAATACATCCACGACTGTTTCACATTATGCGCTAATGTACAAATACAGGATCTAGAGACTTTTCAATATTTACCGATAAATATGCCATAAACTCTTGAAAGCAAAGTCAACGATTCTTTCAAATATTGTACTGAATATGATATGTTCAAAAAATTCCTCTATAAACTATAATTATTTTATTGGTTCCATGACAGTTTTATAAGAAAAGAAATTTTCATTTGCAAAAAGGTATTGTACCGCCTTGGAAACTACAAAAAAAAACAAAAGTGGAACCCGTAACACCTTTTACCTGTCTGCACCATTAAAAACATATAAAAACATATGAAAGATTCGATGTATAAAAACCAAAGTGATTGGCTGTAATACGATGTAAAGCTTTGGGAATGTTTTAATATCTAAAATTGGTAGGCAAGGCGTGACAATATGTCATCAGGGAACTAAGCACTACAGTGCAAACTATCGTAAGCTTTAACCTTATCTGGAATGGCAGCTGCCTCTAGAGGGACACGAATCATCAATTCACGTAGTGTCGCCACGAAAGTTATCTTCCTATAAAATTTGGAGCTAAAACAGAATACAAAATGGATGAATTCCATTTTCCACTCCTAAAAATTAAAAAAATCCTACCTTATGAAAGGTTTAGCCATAAAAAGCATGGTCTTTATCCACAAAGTAGGATGCACAATGTACAAGTGGCTCAGGTTCTTTCTTAATTTTCTCCCAATCATTTGGTAACATCTCTTGAGCCAACTAAATGAAGGTAACTTAGCTGCAGCACCATGTAGATATACAAGAACGTAGTCTTCGGTAACCAAACGTTCCAAAGTCCAAAGTACATATCTTAAAAAAATACATTGGTATATCATTTTCAAATATGGGGATAGGGTGACACATTTTTGTTAATACTGGAGGATACAGGCTAAACAATGATATAAAGAAAACACTACAACAGGAATATTGTTTTTTTTTTTCAAGATTAGTGAAATAAGCAAATCCTGGCTATTTTGATTAGTTTTTGACATGCAGAGGACTCTTTTAAATTTGTCTATTTTACACAGACCCACAGTTGCAGACCCACAGTTTATTATCAAAAAAATGTTTATCCACGACTATCCTATAAATGTTTATTATACATGTGTTTTCTGAATAATAACAATATCCATTATTCACTGGTTTAAATAGCGCAGGTATCTATCTCACATGCAGGAGGCCGTGGGTTTTATTCCTTGTAACAACTATACACTTTTTATTTATTTTTTTACAAAACCTTGAAGAAATATGAAATATAGTAGTTGAAGATTATAAAAATGTTTTATTTTATAAATATAATCTAATTTCTGCGAAAAAAAAATGAAAAATACTCTGGTTCCGGGAACTGAACCCATGACCTCTGGAGTATGAGATGAACACTCTTCACTGATTGTAAGCCACAAAAACTAATGAATACTTGTAAGTTCTCCAGCTTATATATGTACGTCAAACAATTGTTGCTCAATGAACTAATTCGTCATTACAAAAACTTACAAAACGTTTATAGACAGTGAAAATGAGATGACTTGTACAGTTGGCGCCACCCAAATGTGAACGGATTTTGGTTGTTATGGAAATTTCATCTGGATTTTATCGTAGTAGTTCAAACTTTTCTTAGTTGTGTAACACAGAGAGGGTATTTTGATGGATAAATTTGACCAAGGCATTGTCTTCCGCGTCACTGGAAACATTCCCGACATCTTGCCTGATATATCTTTGTAATCTTTGTTCTTCTTGCCAGCGTTATTTAATATAAAATATACAACTCTTACTGACATTTAAATCAGCAACCACTTCACTCAAAGACCAATTATCTTCTAATTTAGCTACAGCCCTTGCTCTTTACGCCTCAGTTAAATGCTCCTGCATATTTCACGTTACTTGTTTACATTTCATTATGTTTGCTCTAAGTGACATATATTTGACAACTATTGAATTTTACGACGACCCTGATTTGAAGTTTAAATTACATGGTACAGTATTGCCGTTCACATTTGGGTGGCGCCGACTGTACATACCCAGAGATACAGAAAGTGTAGAAAATTGCAAGTTTATAGTTATTACTGGAAAAATCAAAAAAACTTTAAATGTCTTTATATGTCTACATATGAATCGTTTTTATAATGGAGGACTGACAAAAAATTTAATCCTTTTTCAGAATTGGTTTCGTTAGTATATTTCACCGAGTTGTCCACAAAATATAAACCGTTGACCTTGTGGAAAAACTACTGTATGCTTATAATTAATATAATTCAAGGTATTGATATTGAAAATTATAGTAAATTAAGAGCCGTTTTAAAACGGAATTCTGAAGGTTTTCGGGCTAAAAAAGGCAGTACTTTTTCTTTGGAAGATATAACTAAATTCTTTACGAAGGCTTGTGATGAAAAATATCTCGCAACAAAGGTAAAAAATCAAAAGTATACACAGTACTTAGATTTTTTTTAATTAAACAATGTATTACCCAAAGGGTGTCTGATAGCATAAAAATCTCAAAATGGTCAAAATGTGACAAGTTGTTTCTGAAATAAAAGTGCACATTCCACCTGATGTGTACTTCTATGGGAAGGAAGAAATAAAAATGGTACTAAAGTTAATACTTATTAACATATTAGTAATGATGTCAAGTACACGTCATTTTGAGTATTTAAATGTATCTGGTATTTTTTCAATGAGTATCAGTTACTTTGTACCTGATGGTACAATGTGCTAATCTGATACTAGTGATACTACCAATACATATCTACCCGGCACCTACTATATTTCTTTATCTAGAAAAGCTTCACAGATGTTAATGAATACACACTAACATTCTTCTTTAAATTTGAAAATAAATACTTTTAATGCAATTAACTCATTATTATTATGTGGTATTATAATTTATTGCAAAAAAATATGATGATACTCTTCATAAAGACAAAATGTGTATAATTCATATATCATACAGAGCCTTCATAAATATTTACAAGCCATATGATCGCCGAACTTAGGGCACCTAACATTGCACGATTGTACTGATAACAAAAATTCCCTAAATCACAATCACAGCCAATGAAACAGAATATTGTGTTTTAATGTAATATAATCTTGATCTTGTTTTAATTTTACCAAAATATAATTGCTAACATGAAGGAGATAAAATTACTGTTCTAAACAAAATTACTGGTCACGTAGCTTGCAATCATTTATGAAGGCTATGTATCTGTATTATTATACAGAATAATAAAGTCATGATTTATAAATATCACTCTTTTTCTTAATAACTGATGAATACTGAGATTAAAAATCTAGTATCTACATATATATGTATATGTGTGTACACATACTATCTTTCAGCTATTGCCAATTGTCCTATATTCAGATACTGGGTACTGAGGTATGGCAAGTATTGACCACCCAATATTTTTTATCTCACCGAGTAACTTTTTACCCAGTAGTTACAATATTCATATTACTACATATACGCAATAGAAAGAGGACCGCCTAGCCGGGTGTCTTGGCTGGCGGATTTCGATCTGCCGAGTCAAGCATCACGGACATGGGCCGGAATTTGGATGGGTGGCCTAAGGCAGGCTCAGGGACGTGGCTGTGGCAGCCTACCAAGAGACCTGGGTCGCCCAACATTTGCCGCACGCGTGTGGTCCCCGATAAATGGTAATGAGAACAGATCAAGAAATCTCTGTAACTCAAGACCATGCTATCATACATTAACTGTACGAGACTTTGCCACCAAGCCATCCGTGTAGTAAATAAGATGGTTTGAAGAAAAGTACTCGAGTAATGTAGGAGGGTGTACAAGGGGCCTAAAAAGGCCTAAGTGCCGGTGGAAGACAATTCCACCACCCTCCGACATACACACATACATACGCAATAGAAACGAATCTCCACTAAAAATATATTTTTTTTAATTTCTGTATGCTTAAATATTCCCACAAGTCATAATTTTTTGTATCGTTTGGTATTTTAAAATCTTCAAACGTACAATATTACTTTTGGTACATGGAACATGATGACTTATAGTAGGATCGTATTCGATGCAAAGTAGAGCAAAAAGTTGTCGGTCTTTTATCAAAGGAAAATCGTGTCATCATTTTTAGGAGGCTAAGATGAACTATTTCAAATTTAAAATGAAATTGAATGTAAAATTTGAAATACCGCTGCATACGCACTGTGTTGTGGTTGTAGCTATAGTCGCCCAGGTGCATCGAGTGTACGAAGTGGTCGGTTTACATCAAATACTAAGCTGGCGAGCTTGTTCGGAAATCAGAGAGCACCTCCAAAAAACGTGGCGCGTACAGAGGTAAAATGTAGTACATATGAGGAATTTAAAAAACAAATTGGATTTATAATAAATTACATTTAAAATAAATAGTTTATGAGCATAAAGGAATTTTTGTAGGAACAAGGGTGCCAGACGTGAACTAATCCCTTCGTCCCTTCATAATGTATTGTAATGTATTATTCAATTTCTAAAACCCTTAAAAGCGTATGCATTGGTTCCCTTGACAGGCAATGATTTATTACTTTGCATTGAATATGATCCTACTATAGTTGTTTCCTTTTAAGCATGTACCTGTAGTATTCCATGTGTTTCATTTAACACATTCTCAGGCAATATTTTATTATAAAAATTATTGTATTAGATAAAAAAATATATAGAAATAAATCCTCAAATCACCTCTGAGCTTTGAGACCTTCGTAAATGTAATTTAGGGGTGGCAAATGGTAATGGAAGAAAATAAAGTTCCTAAGTGAAGTCGTCTCTACATGTTTATAAATACCATAATCAACTGCCATTTTGGGGCAAAATCTCTATTACCAATCATGAAACACAAGTATGAATTTTCAATTCATATCAATAAAATTAATTGACTGTAAATATTATAAACTCAACATGTATATTGATCTGAAATGTTAATGAAAAATTAAATTGACAATGTCATACTGCTATGTTGCATCAAACCAGAGCAATGGGTTGCAGTACTTGGGTCTTTAGCTGAAGAGTAAAAAAAAAGAGAGTTGGTAGTTGTTATCAAGAGATCTTTTCAAACAGTATATTTAATAGTGATGGGCACTATCGAATGGATTCAGTTATCGGATAATTTATTAATCATGTGTTATTACACAGGAACACAAAAAAAAATTCCATGAACCAGAGGGTAGACCTCACTATTCTTAGGTTTGCTGAAACCGAATATGGTCATAAAAATTATTTCAATTCCCGTTTTCCCGCTAGCACCCCCTAAAGGGGGTTAAATTTTTTTTCATACAAAATTAAGATGTATGCGTATTTCTATGTTTTTTGGGACGCTGAAACCGAAAATGTCTACAAAAAATGAATTTAACCCCTCTTACTCGTTAGCACTTCAGATATTTTAAGCAAGAGAGTTCGGTATCATCGAAAGAGGTAAATGCCGAATCGTGAGAGTCCAGGGGACTCACATTAATCAAGCACCCTGAATCGTGAGAGGCAAGGGGACTCACTTTAAACAAGCATCTCGAACCGTGAGAGGTAAGGGGACTCGCATTAAAAACTACCTACCACGTCCACGCCATTGTTCCTGGTCCACTAAGAGTAGAACCAAATCATAAATACGTCTAAGAACTGATATTTCTGATCGGTGAAGTATTGACATTTACAACATAGGAGGTACTCTTAAACTTGTCTAATTAACAGGCAATTGACTTTAGATCGTTGGAATTTCAAGCGTTGAGTCCATGAAAACTTTGGTTCTCCTCTTTTACGCAATTTACCGAGAGCCAACTTTTATATGGAGTATAAAAGTTCTGCTAGTTCTTTTAAATGATTGTAAGGAAGTGTAAGGGGGTAATCGAGTAAGTGTATATCATTTTTTGTAGTCATTTTCGGTTTCAGCATTCCAAAAAACAGAAGTACACATACATCTTAAATTTGTACAAAAATTTAAAATTTAACCCCCTTCAGAGGGTGCTTGCGGGAAAACGGGCAATTGAACTCATTTTTTATGGTCAAGCGACCCCAAAAAACCTAAAAATAGTGGGGTCTACCCTTTGGTTCATGAATTTTTTTTGTGTGCCTGTGTAATTAGTACCTATACTTGACGGCCAAAATTATAGATAGTGATTCATCGCTAGCTCTTGGACTAGTAAGGGGGATGAAGCGTGACAGGAACAAAAATCCATTGGCGTGTCTGCGTAAAAGGCAACAAGATATAGAAAATATTGAAAAAACATAATAAAACATAACATCTAATATTTTTTACGGTTTGCTATAACCGGCACTTTGATCAATTTTAATTATTACAGCATTTTAAAACGTCCCAGTTGTGTTTTTTTAATTTATAAATTTATTATAGCCATGGAATTAGACCCCTCGTCTACGCTTATGCTATGACGTTTCTCAGGTCGGGCAAATCAAGTCCGTTTACACCCACTAAAAAAGCATTTCCCTATTCCCTACCAAGTGCAAAAGACAGAGATAAAATATAGATCGACGTTCAGTGTAACTCAGTCTATACACGATTATAGATTCTACCGATGTGCATGGCGAGCGGCACAAAGATAAATAATATTGAACCGTATAGAAATCATTTTATATTTTATACGCATTATGGTAATAGTGTTTTTATATTATGTATTAGTCACTCTTTATAATTTCGACCGCTGAGTATAGTTTGTAACTTTTGAATAAATCCATTTGAATAAATTTATTTGATGCTGGTTGTGGGAACTATTTATTTTTAGACAGAAAGATAATTTATCAATTTATTACGTATACGTATGTTTATACGGTACACGTACAATAGTTATTCGTTTATGCGAAAACCTAATTGTTCGTAATGTTAATGCTTGTCTCGTCTCTCTACTAACATTAACCAGTGATCACGACTATCAACCAGTGACTATTACTTCAGGGGCACGTAGCATGGAGCCGATAGTTTGCTAACCATTACTATTTTCATTGAAATACTTTTGGACCAGAAATAATTCGTAAATAATAGTTGGATACTATTGAATATTTTGATAGTTTATTGTGACTAATATTCACTATTTGTTTCCCTAGAAAAAGTATTTCATTCTACATATAAAATAGAGTATAAAATTTGAAAGTTAATAATTTGGAAAAAACAGAAATCTTTAAACAATAACAATAAAAATTTTATTTATTAGAAGCTAAAAACAAACTCTCCGAAACGAGAATTTTTGAGGACCCTGTATTTGTGAAGGAAAAAAATGGAAAATGAGTTTATATTCTTAATACTTAAAAAAATTATTCTAGTGACTTACAGGAACAGGTTGTCCATCACATAATCATAATCCACTCTCGACCTATCAGGTAAGAAGCAAGCGGAAAACAGCACAATAGCAGTGTGGCCTCCTGCTCTGAGGTATCCACCATGAGAGAGCACTCTTTTGTAAGGTTCGATAACACGCATATCAATAGTGCGTTGTTCTCCACCAGGCAACACCATCCGCTGCCAATACCTGGCGTGTCGACGCTCATCTGCCGCACTTAGAGGCTCGATTGGCTCAGGAGAGATGTTATCTAAAAAAAAAGGAAACAGTATTGCAAATTTAAAAAATAAAACATGTACACACCATCGTTTTCCAGATTATCTTTACCATTTTCAGTTTCTCCGTTAAAAACGTCTTCAGACTTCAAGCTATCAGGATTGCTGTCTAAAGAAGAAACATCGCTTTCTTGATCAGATTCAATTGGCAAGACTTTTATTATTCTTAGTTTATTGCTTCTTTTATTGTGTGCCAGAAAATTTAAATTTCCTGTAAAACAAATAGTAGAATAATTTAAGGCAAAAAGTTTTAGATAAATATGTGCTGTAGAATTCTTCATTTTTAAAATATAGGGTGTCGAGATTAAAAAAGGGTCAGACTTTCTGAAATATTTACAAGAAAGTTTGAAGTTTACTGATAAAAACTGGGAAAAGTTCATTGAATTGGCTTATTAATATGTCAACTATAAGAAACAAAATTTCCAAACCATGAAGCTTACCAATTACTATTTGGGAAATTCAATAATTACATTTAATTCCTAGTGGCGTTACTAAAAAAAAATGATTTCTTCCATTTTGTTAAGGAGGTTTATCTGATTTGGAATTGACGGACAAATATTCATAAAAAAATTAATATAAGCTTATTAATATGAAGGAAATCCTCAAAAAAAATTATGACTAGTTTGGATACCTAAGAGACGAGATATTACTAAAATAATTTTTCACGATTTAGTACAGAGTCTTATGAGAATGCAGATTTTTTTGGTCTTTCCACTTAGAATGTAAAACAATTGACGAACAGTTTCCACAGCAACTTGTATAAATAGGAAACCGATATCTAAGGAACCGTACGATAGCTTGTAGAAATCGATTAGGTACTTGTAAGATACATAATTTATAATAATGCTCCTTCAAACTGCTGTCGTTGAGTAACTTAACCTCTATATGCGTGATAGCGTATTATTTGAAATTCGCAGATGTGAGATATGATGTATATTTCAAGCTTAGGCATCAAACAAAGCCAGCCAAGTGCAACGTTGCCAAATCTAAAGGCTTATTACTTTAGTCACTAGCGAATCTACAGAAACTCTCGTTAGACTTTAGACGTACCTCCGTACCCAATAAACCTCCTTAAAAGAACAATTTGCTTGAAAGTTTTTAAATTTTGTCATTCACACAGTTGTATAAATCAGAGTAAATTGAAAATAACTCGATTTTTAAAAAATCTGAAAATTTGATTTTTTTTATAGAAATGCAATTTTAAATGTCAAAATTAGAAAAAAAAACAGATGTAGAAATTTTAATTTTTTTAAATGTCCAGAAAATTTAAAATGCTAATGATTTTGGATATTTGACAAATTATCAGCAACATCTACATCAAATATCCATCCGAAATGCTTGAGAAAATTATATATTTTTTTTAATTTCAATACTCTGTAAATTGAAAACGGAAAGTTCTATGCCCCACATTAAAAAAAAAGTTTGGCTTAAATTTGATCATTTGGTCAAGTTCCCAAATTAAAATTACCCCGTAGAGAAAATTACTCGATTATCGATAGTTTTTCTATTTCTCACCTTCTTTTTCATTCATGGTAAGGGAAACATTCTGTAAATTAGAACTTAAATGTGCTTCATAGATCGATTTATCATTTTCATTTTCATTATCACTGGGTATATCATGTGCAACCATTTCCACTGGTAAATCGTACATTAATGATTTTTTTAAAGCAGATGGACTATCTGGAAAATCTATATAATCACATAACATTATGTTTCAAAATTCTGGTTTAACTTCATACTGACCTGGTAACTTTTCATTGTACTCGTCCATTGGTAAGTCAATATTGAAATGATATTCAAACTGGTGTGACTCAGTACTATTCTCCAAAGCAGTACTGTGTGCCTGCGGTAAAAATGAAGGTTTCTTTGCTTTCGGTTTTTCTGGTATTAAATCTGGAAAATCTGAAGATTTTGGGGATGTGGGTGAATACATCAAGGGGTGAGAATTCGTTGCATTTTTTGTAGTTGAAATATTTCTATCTGAGAAAACAGAGTTATTGTGATCGTATTTAATGTTATCCAGCCTTTCATTATCCAATATTTCGCTAGTAATGGGGTTGGAAAGCCGCAAGACTTGACTAGTGTTTGTGTTTTCATGACTAGATTCGTCGGAAACATCGGAAATGTCCATCTTTTCCGAAGACGGGCTTGTTACCTCACTGAAATAAATATTTAAAGCTTGAGAACGAATAAATGTAAATAAGTTAACCTCATTCGAGATTTTTTCCTCCTATCGCTGGTTTTTCTATTTATTTTTTAGTATATCGTCTTCGACATACTTGTATATAATTTTTTGAATTTTGACACTTGCTTGTAGTGTTGCCACTTTGAGTTAAATTTTCTATTTCTATGGTTGCCATTGTTGCCAATGATATAAATATGAAATATATATAAGAGGTCTTTCGTTTTGGCAAAAATAGTAACAATATCAGTTCAGACTAATTCTAAGTTGCTACTAACTTCTGATAATTATTATTTTTGCCAAATCGAAAGGCCCTAAGCAGTGAAGACTGTGGTTTCCGTGTTCAAAATTTCCTGGGTCACGTAAAAGTGGTGTTGATGTAACTAAGTAGAGTATGCGCCATTATTCCATGGCTAGAAATTGGCCTCATTGATTTGGGATCGAGGGGGATTATCCCTCTTTATCCTGCCTCATCTCGTGTAGGCCTGGACGGCCTTCGTAGGTGGGCCCCATCCGTCGTCTACCCCGACCGCAAATGCGGCCGGTGTAGGCGCTTTGTTGGACCTCCTTTTGTCCTGGCTAGGCCCCGCCGGCTAG